CAGGGGGAGCTGGGGCTGGGAGGGTGACTGAGTGGCCGGGCAAAGCAGGCCCTGGCCTGTGTTGGGGTGGTGCTTCCCTGGCTGCTGGTGCTGCTCGGGGCTGAGTGGCTCGTGGCACGTTCCTACCTGGCAGGTGTCGATGGCGCCCTGTGTGTAACCAGCACACACATTGTGGGTGTGGACCTTCCCTGTGTACCAGCCAGTGCTGTTGCAGACCTGGAGATCGATGAGCTGGACCTTGGCCTCCTGGAGGCGATCACTTGATCTTTGAGCTATGAGCAGAGAAAGGAATAAGCCCCCAGCAGCTCCTTCCCGGTTCTCCTCCTATGGCTTTCTTGTGGGGGATCCATGGCTTGGCTGTGTCTCTGCAGAGGCACTGGAGCTGCTGCCAGCCTTTGGGGAGCAGGCCAGGCCCATGTCTGCAGAGGTGTATGTCCTGCACCCTAACTCCAACTTTGGCCTCTGCTGTGGGGAAACTCAAACCATCTCCCCAATGTGTTGAGTTGGCCCAAGAATCGCTCTTGGGGACTCACCTCTTGGAGCAGTTTCACCCCAGCCAGCCACCCAGCAGTTTTGCAGCTCTGACACTCTCAGTCTGGTGTCGGGAACACAGACCAGCTGGATGTAGGGGCTGCACTTGACAGGATGATCCAATTCCATCAGGGCAATGTCGTAGCTCATATCATCATGGTTGTAGTACTGGTGTAGCAGCACCTGCTTGACATGGCGCACTTCTGCCCCATGGCCTGGCTTAGTTAACTGGGTGGCCCCAACCACCACATACACCTTGCTGATTTCCCTAGAAGGCATGGAGAGAGAGCTGAAAGAGAGCAGAGCTATGTGCCAAAGCAGCCCAGCACTCTGCTGGCATGGCAGAGAGGGAGGAGCGCTTTGTCAGGTGTGAGTGCCCTCGCACACCTTAGGCTGGGAGAATGTCAAGCTGGAGGCTGCTAGGAAGCCTTGGCACGAGCCCAGGCTTCTCCTGAGCACAGTGGCAGCCTGGCTGCCTGAGAGGAAAGGGGATGGGAGTAGCAGGTGGTGCTGCTGGCAGGGCACTTGCTGGTGCTGTGGAGATGTCCCCATTCCCTGCTCCTCCTTACGTGACCTTATCGAAGCAGTGGGCTGCTGTGAGGACCCACTGTGTGCTGATGAGAGACCCTCCACACAGATGTTTCAGGCGCGGTATCCAGGGGTGCTGGATGCTGACCATCCACGGCCAGGCCCCTGGCTTGGCATCTGTGCCACCCACGACACGTGTCATGCTGGGGTCATAAGCCACGTTGTCATAGGAATTAGTGGGGGGATAGGCAGATGGCACAGCTCGGAGCCCGCAAGTTCCTCTGCAAGCAGAAAGAAATTTCCATGCTGCTTCATGGCCTGCTGTGGCTCAGGCTGAAGCTCAGCCCTCTGCCCTCCCCACAAGGCCTTGCACTCACAGCAGGCCAGGGAAGCCCATGGGGTGTGTGTCTGTCCGTGCCAGCACCTGGCTGCTGGCAAGGAACTGAGGCTTCCCATGGTGGGATCTTGTTCTAATGACATTTTTACCTCACATGCTTTTACTGAATATTTGACCTCAGACCGTGGCAGACAGTATGGTGAGAAGGGACACCTGACCAGGCCACAGTGGGAACCACGGGGTCATGGGAGTTAGTAGTATGCTTATAGAACCTTCCTATACTTGATCAAGTTTCCAGTTTTCCTTCACCTTTGGTCCAGACCTTTTTCTTATCAGGTCATATCCTGAGTTCGCCTTTCTGATTAGACATTGTGCCCCTATACCTGGCTGCATTTTCCCCACCAAAGGGGTCTTTGAAACTTAGCCTCTGTACCTGTGTGACATTTGTTATTTTTGCTATTAAAGTTTTTTATTTTCTGGGTAGTTCCATTGTTCCCATCCCTTCTTATTCAGCCAGCTCCTCCCATCCAATTCGTGCGGGGGAATCACAATGAGCTTCTACGCTAATACCCCATGGCTGGTGGGAAGCTGCGGCCTGGCCACGGAGGACAAGTCGGTCCCTCCAGGGAAGGCCGCAAGTGTTACCATGGCTCCCTCCCGGGGCCTAGGCCCACTTACCTGCAGGTGTACTGGATGCTCTGTGCCAGCCCGGTCACGGTCAGCAGGACGAGGAGGCTGAGCCAATTCATGTCTGCCAGAGGCATGACTCAGCTGCAAGCAATGAGGGCTCTATGAAGCAGTGCAGCCACACTGCCCGCAGCAACTGCACTGCCCGTGGTGCCCTTGGCACAGGGGCTGATGTCATGGAAGGGTGGGTTCCATGTTCTGGGCACTGTGGCCTATGGTGTGGGTCCCACTGGGGGCAGAGCTGCATCAAATAAGTGAGCCATGGAATGGTTTGTGCTGGAAGGGACCTTGAAGTTCACATAGCTCCAACCTGCTACCATGAGCAGGGAGGGATAGCTTGCACTAGACCCATAGTGTGCACAGCCTGGCTCAGAAGCTGTCCTTGAACACTTTGAGGGATGGGGCATTGAAGTACTAAGTCCTGATCAACAGGCCCTCACTAAGGCCAGAACAACAGGCCTTGACCAAGAGTTGGCCTCTGGATGAGTCTTCCAACCAGATGATGTTGATGTTCACTCACCGGCAAAACATGGATTTACCTTTCCATACTTAGAGACTGGACAAGGCCCTGTCTTCTTTGGGGGTGTAGGATCACAAGCAACCCCCTGGATTCCACCTGAAGCCCTCCAAGGCCTTGGGGGATTCCCAGTAGGAGACTGAAAAAACATGTTACTGCACTAGAAGTCTTGGTATTCTATTCAATGGTATAAAAACAGGGACCTCTCACAGGCAGTCAGTAACCTCGCTGACTGTAGGGGAAGGTACCTGCAGGATTTCCCAGTTGCTGTCAGTGGTTCCCAGTCCTTCACTATGACAGTGGCTTCCACCCAGTTGATGGGCAGGCCTGGATGATGGTCAAGGGTTAGGGTAACTTGTGATGTGTCTTTCTTCATCACTGTAGGCAGTTGTTTATAGTAATGATTAGCTGCATTGCATAGTTTATCCTTTCACAATTCTTTGCTAATTATTTGATGTCCTGCTTACTTTTGCAATCCTTTGCAGGTTTGAATTTTATAAATTACATTTATTCCTGAAGTTGGTGTCTGTGTCTTCCGTGCTGACCTTGCCTATATGAAAAACAGGTACCCACAGCTGCTCTGAGTAACCCATGCCAGTATATCAGCAAGAATTCCTCAAATTCTTCACAGTCAAGAATTCCTTCATATGATCTCAGCTGAAGCTACCCTCTGTCACTGTAAAGCCATTGTCCCTTGTCCTTTTAGGACCTGCCCTTGTAAGAAGGCTCTCTGCTGCTTTCTTAGGCCCCTCTTCCTGCAGGATGAGGCTGTGCAGTCCCTGGGGCAGGCAGCAGCTGAGGAATCCATTTGGGGCAGGGAGCTGGGTGTGCAGCTGCAGTGCCAGCTGCAGATTGAGCTCTGGCTGGCAGGAGCCTGGGAACAGAGGCTGTGTGCATCCTTTGCATAACAGAGGGCACAGGGAGCAGGGCAGGGGAATGAACACTTATTGGAGTTTGGGATTTCTTTTCCTCTCCTTTTCATTTCTCTCAGGGAATTTTCTCCCATTTGTTGCCTAAGAGATGGGAACAACAGATACTTAAGAGAGATAAAAGATATAGCCAAGGAGGAGTGGGAAGGGTGCAGTTTGCTACTGTCGCTGAGCAGTGAAGTTCTCTTGGAAGTGTAGAGATACTGTGAGATTTTGCCTGGGGTTGAGAGGCTAGGCTCAGCTCCTCACTCTCTCTCACTCTCAGGGTCGGAGGGGAACAGTTTGGTTTGCTGCTGCTGCTGTGGGGTGAATTTGCTGCCACAGCAGAATTCTGTCCTGTACTGCTTTTCTCCTTTCAGTGGGTAAGCTTCTGCTTGCAAGAGCAGCTGTTGAACTGGGACCTTTCCAATGCCCAACCTCATTGAGAAGGCAATCCTGACTCCTTCCCCCTTCCCAGAGGGCATCTCCCAGCAGCTTGTGGCTGCTGCTTGTGGTAGCCTGGCAGCCAGTGCCCAGCTGTGCTATTTGAAGCCAATGATTTAGGCTTTTTTACTACACATTAACCTGACACTCCATGCCTGCCAAAACACTGAGCGGTTTCTAGCACGGCTCTGGAATCTTTGCTACACTTTGTAACTCCGGGATGGGGCTGCCTCTGCTGTTCCAGTCTGTTTCTCCAAAGTTCCTGCTGCAGTCCATTCAGCTTTCCGAGTGGCACTGAGACCAGCTGCTTCCTGTGAGTTTCGAAAGGAAGCCCCTTCTCCATCTCTTCCGCCATTACCGTGTGGAGCGAGGCGGCGGAGCTCGCGCCACAGCGCCCCCTGCAGCCGTGGGGGAATCAGCGCACCCGCCCTGCCTGGCGGGAGCCACCAGCACCCCTGCTGGCCGTGACTGGAACTGCACTGAAGGGGAAGTTCCTGCGGCCGCGAGAAGGCCGGGACTGGGTTTCTGTTTCTGTCCTGCTTGTTGTTGCTGCTGTTGTTGTTCTTTGTTTGCCTTGTTATACATACTAGTAAAGAACTATTATTCCTGTTCTCACATCTTTGCCTGAAAACCCAGTAATTTCAAAGTTATAATAATTTGTAGGGAAGGGGGCCACATTTTCCATTCCAAAGGAGGTTCTCGCCTTCCTTGGCCAACACCTGTGCTTTAAACCAGGACAACACTGAGAGCTGCAGTAGGAGCCAGTGACTCTTTGTGGAATGAGGCATCTGCAACTCTACTGACAGAACCTCAGGGTAGAATGGGTACAGAAACCTGCTCTTTCTGGGTGAGAGTGGCATTGGTGGTTAATCAAACAGGGCACCTGGCAGCTCACTGAAGCAACCCGTGTCTCTGGAATGGTCACACAGGGAAGTTTCTTCAGCACTATAGTAGCCCAGATAGGAATGTAGAGGAGTACCTCTGGAGCCTCCCTCCTCCATATATCCAGCTAGTGGGATTTTCTGGGCAGGAAGAAGACAGAGGAGGAGTGTTATAACACCATGTGACAGTCTGTGTAAATTATAAGGGTGCATTTGAGCCTCTCTATTGTTGTGACTTTTGATGCAGATTTGGTGAAATCATGGGTAGTGGGTGGAGAAAACTCGCACAGCATGATCAGCCTAAGGTGGCCACAGTTGTGGAGGCCCCCATAAGTTCTGAGGTGGAGAGGCTCGAGTCTCTGCTTGAAGCTTTTGGAGACAGGGACAGGGAGAGCCTTGTGTCCTTTGTGCCACACAATGGGTGCTAGAGCACACACAGAAGGGGATGGAAGTTCCTTCTTGGTGTTATAGAAAGATAATTAGATAATTGGTTCTTGCAGTTAAGGAATAAATCTTGTGTGAATATTAAGAAAAGCTTTCTTGATGTATATAGATGTCCTCTGTTCTCCCCATAATTCCCTTTTCCACCCCCCACCCCCCCCGCTCTGTATTGTTACCATCAGACAGCCGGGATCGTCTTAGACAAGTAGAAAGAAGGTGTGCACATGTGTCCCTTACGTGGGGCAGCTGGGAATGGAAAAGCTTCTTGCTAAGGGGATGTGGCATGATAACACCTGACCTCCAACCAAGTTACAAGAAAGCAGTCTCTACCAATAAACGGCAAAGAAGAGTTGACTGACAGACTTTGGGAGGTGCCAGGGTTGGCTGAGGCAACCCCTCAAGAGTATAAAAGACTAAGCATCCGTCTTGAAGAGGAACCATGTGGGAGGCAGCCATGAAGGCAGTTCCCAGCACTGCAACATTTTCCTTATTTAGTCCTTTTTTATTGTGTTTGTTTTAAGGTTTAATAAACCTCTTAAAATTTTTAAAGTGAGCCGTTGTCTCTCACATACAAAAAGGGGTTTCACATGCCTTGAAGTGTTTGATGTGATGGGAAATTTCCCTGGTTTCTGTGAGAAGATGTCCGTGGCTGAGGTTGCACAGAACTGGGAGAAATTGTTTGGGCAGCCGAATTTTGCCAAGACAGTGCAAGAAGGTTGTTCCAGGATGGTTGGGCGACTCTAAGCTGATCTGCTTACTGGACAGGGTAATGGCCATCCTCAGCTCTGAGTGACACTCTTGCACTCAGTGTCTTTCATGAGCAGACATCTTCTGACATCAGGAAATATTTGAAGAAGTTTATGCCAGGGTGGCAGGCACCAGTACAGATGTGGGGTGGTTGTTCTGAAACAGAGTGAAAGTTTAACAGGATAAAAATCTATTTCAGATTTAGGTGAAATGTGCTGTTTTGAATTATTTAGTCTGTAGCTTGCTTGCATAGATGAAA